AGACTCATAGTCGTGCATGCCGTAGTCGTTAGACCATTGACCTCGCATCCCTACAAAGCCGGGACGGAGCACGCCGGGTTCTCACCGGACCAGGGGGGGGTGGGTGGGGGTGGACTAATGTACAACGCGCAGCCGCTTTTGATCCTTCCCTCTGCAAGCTGCTGTCGCGTATTTGATGAGACGTAACCCCTGTCGGCTGTCGGTGTTACTACAATGAGACCATCCCTCCCCCCCTTGAGCCACCTTCTTCTTCGGCAAAAATAGGAAAAAACGATCCGCCATCGGTGATCGGTCCTGTGGGAACGATGCTCCGTCCTCTCGAGGACGCGAGGTCGAGGTCAATGGCCAATTAACCGCCAAGGCATTCGCAAAACATGCGTACCCCCCCCCCACGCACCTTAAGGCGGTCCGTCTTGACGCTCCCGATGGGCACGGCTTGGACCTTGATGCTATCGTCGCTTGCCTTGGCGGTCTTCTTCGCCTCCATCGACGCCTGGTTGTGTAGGCAACAAGGCAAGCAGACGTGCATGTTAGCCGATTCAACTCCGCCAGCAGGAATGCAAGCATCTCAAACAAGCAACCTGGTGGGCAAGCAGACGAGCATGTTAGCCGATTAAACTCCGCCAGTTCAGGAATGCAAGCATCTCAAACAAGCACCCTGATAGGCAAGCAGACGTGCATGTTAGCCGATGCAACTCCGCCAGTAGGAATGCAAGCAACATTCACCACAGAGAATCCTCGGGAATGCCGCACCTACAACGCATCAGCAAACACGCGAAAAAAAAAAAATGATGCGTACACAGGCCCACCAAGCTTTTTTTCAGCAACACAAAGAAAGGGCTACGAGCACCGTAAAACGTCACCAAGATGAACAAAAGAAAACGAAGACACCTCGCGATATCGACGCGGAACAGGCAGGTGCACAGGCACAAGCCAAGGCTTGGTTTCACCAGAACACACATACACCAAAGTGCCTAGGAAGCACGCCGCAAAACGTCAACAAGCAAAAACACAAAACAAGTCACCTTCCGCCTCTCTGATGCTGAGTTCGCAGGTGGGTACATCCGCTGTTTTTCCCCGTCCACCCCGTATCGCCCCCCACTATTTCCGCCGGGGGGACCCACCCCCTGTCTTCCCATATCCCCTCCGCGGCCCCCCCTTCTGCCCCCGCGGCCGCCCCCGCGTCTCCCGAAGCTGGATCTCTGTGCCTGTGGGGGTCGGGAAACATTCGTCATTAATTATGTCGTGAGGGGTCAGGATGGAGCGCGGACAGGGGGAGAGGGCACCGGAATAGTTCGAGGGAAGGGGAGTATTTGGTATTTTTCTCCCTCGTACATGTTGACTCATTTGCGCTTTGAGAACTGTAGCAATGGCGACAGCAGCAACAGCAGCAACAGCAACACAAGCACAGGCAAAATGAAACCAATAGCACCAAGCGGGACCCTTGGACGCGGCCGAATTTTGTTCTTGTGGCTGCCTCATAATGATACGAAAGGCAACAACATTCCGCGCCGACCCGCACCTGATCGCAAACGCCTCCTTACTGTTTCCCGTTTGGGGGCACATCAAAAACAAACATACGCGTCAGTGCGTGTGCACGCGTGTCCATCCCGTTTGTTCTGGTGCCGTCTATTACACACCTTGTACGTATGATTCGTTCACGGATATATCAGCCGGGATCACACAGGGTGGATGGTACCCACCCCAGGCGCGCGTTCGAATTCTTACATCTTGAGCTCTTACTCCAGTGTCCTGCCCTTACCTCCGGCGGCGCCATGCTCTTGCAATGTCACACGTTTCCTCATGCGGCACCAACAACGGTCCCACGCACACACGCATATATCTACACACGGACTGCCAATGCAAAAAAAAGAAGTTCACTACGAAAAATACCAGGAAAAAGACACGCNCCCCCCCCCCCCCCCCGAGCCTCACCTGGTCCTTGACCTCCGCCTGCTTTCTCCTCTTGAACACCTCATCCTCGATCTCGCCCACCTCGCTCATGATCACGTCCACCTGCTTGAGGTTCACGCGGCCTCCGCTCGCCGTCAGGTAGTCTCCCAACGACGATATTACCTGAAGGCATCGAGAGAGCCAACAAAATACCAGGAGACGAGAGAGGGGGGGCGGCCATGGGGGCAATCCCGTCATTGATGCTTGGGGGGGGG